TGCTGTCTGTACCTGCTTCTGGCTTGGTGTCTTCACCTCTAACACCAGGTAATATCACCTACTTTAAGATGGGGGAAACAAAATCAAGGAAAGCTTTTAACTGCTCCAAAATCCTACAAAAAGGAAGATTAATTCTTTAAAAAATTATGAAACCACTATTATTGTTGCCACTTCTTTATTCTGCTGGAGCATGTAAGAGTCTCAGAGGCATGCAGTTCCAGGCACAGCATTGATGTGGAAAATAAAGGGTGGTCCCTGACCTTGATGTACTCAAATCTGATGAAAGCTATAGAAAGACACACTAAACACAGACCCACATAAACAAATGCCTTTGTGCTCCTTAGAATATTTCATATTTGGATAGCTAAATTGTTTAAAACTGACTCTAGTTTCTCCTTAATGAATATATCATATCCAAGTCTCATTATCAAACCAGTCCTATTTCAAATGTCAAAAATAGTAATTTTTAAAAAATAGCTGGTAGTGTATCCCTACTCTCAAAGTGTAAATCCATACCATTTTAATTGCCCAGTCAGCAAATATTCTTCATGTGTCTACACTAAGGAATATACTGCATTAAGTAAATACAGCAATAAACACTAGTTTGATAAAGCTTGCCAAGTTTGATAAAGAAATCTTGATTCAGTTGTTAATATATTAACAGATACATAAGGCTGAATGACTTATTTTGCCCAGTCCATTTAAAATTAGCACCAGAGAGGAAGGTGTATGACTTGCGATGTCCAGTTGCTACAGTCTGCTCAGTAGTACCTGCAGCAAGAATCTTACAGTTCCCAGCAAATCTACCTCCTTTTCCTTGGTTTATTTTAAGAACTTAGAAATGGAAGGACGCTTCCAGCTGTGTTAGTCTATCAGAGGATAGCCTGGTTCAAACTTGTGTTCATTTATGCCGTATGCCTGCACTGACAGCAGGCAGTGTTAATTCTTCTAACCTTACAGGGTGGAGGAAATGATTTTTCATTAAGTCTTGGTAGCACCAGGAAATTTTATATTTATAAGTAGTTTTGGTACTCCATAGGGATATAAATAATATTTTAGCTTAATCTTAAAAAAAACAAGCAACCTTCTATTTACCTGTAGGTGACAAGAAAATCATGGCATTCCAAGACCTGTGCTCCCCTCTCCAGCAAAGCATTTAAACATACACTTAAAACCAAGCAGTTGAGAAAACACTTTGCTGGTCTGAGACCACAGAACACGTACCATGAAAGCATCGGTACCCCTGTTGCATAGTCCTGCAACAGCTTTGGGAACCAGAGGGAGGAATTTATAGGGCGTTGAGAATTTAAAATTTTTGTACAGTATTACAGTCGGCTCCCTTACTCCCTTCCCATTCACATCCTTCTAGATCAAGGACATGCCTACACAGCTCTGCAGGCAGATGAAAGTGCACCCTTGCCATGTTGCAAGCTGACTAGGAGCTCTGTAAAGTTATTTCACATTCCTGTGACCCTCATGAATAAAGCCCTGCTGAAAGGTACAGTGGATTAGCTTGGGCTTCATGCCTGGTTTAGACAGTTTGCACCTAGTTGAAAAACACAGAGAAACACTCTAAAGTATTTTCTGTTGACAGAAGCACATACATGCATACAAACTACAGGAGCCTGGGGTTGTAGCCAGTGCCTTATCTTAACTTCACAGCAAATGCAAAGGGATCACGAACCTCACAGAAAGACTGCTAACTCCAATGAAGTATTTTTGAGTTTATAAACTTCTGAAATACTTTGTTGTAAATAAGAGGCAGCAAGCTCAAGGAGTCATCTGAAATGCCAGAGGATTTCTTTAGCCTGTTATAATTTCTTTTTTTCTGCCACTTAAAAGCTTGATTCTCCTACAGCAATGCTTCTGCATATAAGAATTAAGTATGAAACTTTTTTTGTGCCGCTATGTCAAAAGCTTTTGTAAATCTCTACGTAGACATCACATCAAGATGAAGTCTCTTTACGGACATCCTTACTGGCTTTGCAGAACAAAGTGTGACCTGCTTTAACACGATCTCTTGAAAGGACAGCAGTGAAAATACCATCCTAATTGACTGAGGCTTGAAGAGAAGAGGTGTAAGAGGTGATGGAACTCTCCACAACACCACTGACATTCACCTGAGACCACTGTAAGAAATGAGCAATGTCAGGTTCAAGGCTTGGCTCTGAGCATGACATTTGAATTAGACAAAGAAAACATAATCTCCTCCATGAATTTTCAAGAAAATGGTGAACCCTTTCTATCTAGCAATAATAGGCTTATTTATTTCTCCAGGGTGTGACCTCAAGCACCAGTTTGTGTCGCTCCTAGAAGAGCTCCGTCTCGACAGAGCCCCTGCCCCAAAGCCAGGCAGCAGAGCAGGGGTGCAGCTGAGGGTAGTTCCTCGTGGACAACTCACTTCTGCTTTCTCTCAGGGGCACTCCCTTCTCCTCTCTGCCCATATAATAGCTAGAACAGGAAAAGTGAGGAGGAGCAGCACTGTCCAGACAGACTGGGGTCAGTGCAGGGGAAGCAGCACAGCTACAGCACGTGGCAGGCTGGAGGAAGATGAAGAAATAAAGGAAAGGAAAGACAGGACAAAGAAACATGTGGAAGACGTGTGACTACTGGCACGACATGACTGCTGTGCCACCTCTGTGCGTGTACACCATGTACCAGTGCGCACATGCACTTCCATACGTGTGCCTGTGTAGGGGTTGGAGGCTGTAAAGAAGATTTACTAGCAGAAATCTCAGCCTTGCTCATGACATTCTATGCACAACTTTCTATGCACTGTGGGTCAAACATTTACCAGAATGCCTTTTGCTTCTGGTAAAATCAACCACAGGAAGGGCAAGGAAGGATGTAGTGGTGGCAAAAATGCAGAACCCACCATCGCCCCGAAGAGCACAACGACAAAAACTGAAAGTCTGAGCTCCCCAAAATAAACTGTCTGTGTTTGAGGGCTGGAACAGCAAAAAGAGGAACTCTTGGTCTTGATTCTGCTGTTGCAGAGGGACCAAAAAGCTGTAACTAGAGCAAGTGGTCACAAGGAAGCATCAGGAAAGTGACTGAAGAGCCACACTGTTGTAGAAAAAAAGATAAGTCCAATGAACTGTGAGAGCAAAGAAATAGTATGTAAATCAGGTCAGCTAAGCACCCAGGCACCAAAAAGCCACTGACACAGCAAAGCAGAGGGTGTTTGGAGAGAGAAGCAGCAAAGGAACCCAGCAACAATGGCCTTACTGAGGAGGGACCACGCTCGTATCCTGCCCATCCCAGGGCGAGTGAAAGGGCACACATGGAAAGAGTTTGGGGTCAAAGATCAGCAGGCCTGTGCCAAGAATTCTAACTTTTCATTAGCAGAGGACACAGAAAGGCCTCAAATTGCCTGCCCTTCCGTTGCTTTGTTTTGATATGGGGCTTGACAAGGGTGCAAAGCTATTGTAAACACACGTACTGAGTTACAGAAATGCAAGAAAAAGAAAACAGTCTTTTTTTCTTCTTTTTTTTTTTTTTGGTAAAAAGATGAATATTTTTACAGCATACAGAGCCAGTCATGACATTTAATTTTACAGAACAGGAAGGAGCTCAGCAAAGTGCTGTAAAAATATCCACTCTTATGCAACCAAAGTGCCGACTATGGATCAGGAATAGCTGGGGAGTGGCATCATGGACCCCCCCAGCTCCTTGAACACAGATCTAGGGACAGAGAATAATCTACAACTCACCTTGGTAGTGACCTCTTTCATAAAATGACCCCAGCAGTAATTTCAGATATAGTTTTAGGCCTATATTCTACTCCTCCAAACCATATTTTCCATGTCACAGACCCTGTTAAGTCATTTAACACAAACTGTAGGCAGAAAATACCAACATTTCTACTTGGCAGGTTTTTAGATTTTCATTATAAGCATTCAGACAAGCAGTAAATAGCCATGCAAGGTAAGGAGCTACAGATGCTTTCTTAAAATACTGTCATCTTCCATGGGTATCTCATGTACACAGCACAAGAGTAAAACGTGGTCAACCATAAAAACATCAACATAGTAACAATACTTACTTATTCAAATGTGCTACAAGCACATCAGCATAACTCAGTAACTGTTTTTGCATTCCCTGCTTGAAAGAATCATTGCATAATAGTACTGTAGCTATAGATTGCTTTCTTTTCTTTTTTTTTTCCATTGAGTATTCAATTCTTAACAACACATAATAAACACAATTAATATAGAACACTCCCTATATCCCCATCTGTTGATTTCTTCGTACTTAGTAAAACCACTTCTTAAAAATTTGGCCCTTACATGAAATACCAAATGCTGTCACTTACGATATAATCAAGAAATATGTGGTTTTTAGTTTTTTAATTAAAAAAAATCTTTTCAATACTCTTAACATAATTGAAAGATAAACTATTTTTGACACCAACTGCTCTGAAGAATAAATAGCCCATTAAATAAGAACCCTCAGTGTACATTCTACCTTTACCAGCAGAGAAGCAAAAGTGATCAGAAAAAGCTTGAGGGCACTACGGCATAATTCTGTAGTGGAAGGAAGGGAATTCTAAAGGAGGAAGCAGTGAAAAGACCCAATTATTCTTATTGCCAAACTAAATCTAAAATAATAGGGATCTTCTTAATTCAAGTTCACTTGGTATCAAAACTGAAGCTACTGTTTAAAATACACCAGTAATGATAACATGATTTATGATCTGATTGATATAAATGAGCTGTTAATGTTAAAAGAAGACAAAGCTAAATGGACAGTAACTGCTTTTCTCTACACTGTTATTTCAAACAAATAGAGCCTACCAAGACACACAGGATGTTCCCTTGAGCAGGGACACCTCTCCAGGTTACTCCTGGAGGTTTAACTTTGTTAAATTGCTGGTTTATGTCAACAAGCCCATTGTTACTTCTTTCTTACAAGTGAAATGCATCACTCCACCCATGACAAGATGGAGTTTAACCACATAGCACTTTTCTAGAACCAGTCACACAACCAATAAAACATACCTGATGGGCCAAAATATAGATATTATGGCCAACATCTTTTGGGGAGATGCCATCATCTCCGTTCTCCTCCTCGTGGTCACAGTCGAGGCCTTGGTTATAGGCATTCTTCATCACGTCCACCTGAAACACAAACCCAAGCAGAGGGAGATGAAATCAATGAAGAAAGGAAAAAAGAACTCTGTGTTTAAACACAGATCTCTCAGTTGCTGCTGTTACAGAGCCAGTTGGATTGGGAACAATTTCTCCAGATTTCCAACCCATTTAAAGTTCCTGGAGACCTGCACAAACATCAGGGTTGTTTCAAACTACAGCCACAAGTGTATTTGTACATTTGTATATATTTGTATATTTGTCCAAATGTTTGTAACTCTCTCTGTCCATGAGACATATTTAACGTAAATATATTATATATATTCTACCTCTACACACACTGTTTCATAAACTGTACAAGCCAGTCCCTGCCTGACAAACTGTACTTGGAGGCACTCTATCAGAGTATGATAACTTAGTTAGGAAACAATTACAGAAAAAGTGCTTGGAACGTCGTAAAGACTGAAATCATGCATGCTTGATCCTTTTAAAGTACTTTTTGTGAATTAGTACCATCCTGATACACTGTGCCACCATACCCTGCCAACACTTTTCAGCTTAGATGCAGATCATTTAAAAAATGTTCTAATGACAGATTTTATTTTTTTTTTCAGCCAAAAGATTTATGAATATTCACAGGTTTTCTCACCAGTTCTCTTGGTCTCATGTTGAAAAGGATTCTTTCCGCGTTCTCACTGTCTTGCCTGCTTTCCATAATAGCCAACAAAAGCTTGGAGGCATTGTTCTGGAGATACAAAACCAAGTTAATGCAAATTTTAAATCTCTTTCATGGATTAATGACCCTCGCATTTGTTTTATTTGAGATTACAAGAACCACTTTTTTTAGTGGATAAGATTTTCAACCACTTGCATCTTTTATTTTACTGACATATTTAATAGCATTTTTTTTCCCATTTTAATATCTGTAAGACTGATATTTAGTAAGACTAACTAACCCTGCACTCTATATTGGAAGAAGCATTTTAAACACCAAAAAATATTTGACTTAAATATAGAGCCTTGCTGTAGACTGTGCACAAGAAATGAAATTCCATTTCTTCCCCTTACTGCCCACCTAGCAATTTTTGCCCTGGCTTTCTATTAAAACAAGAATCAACAGAGGTAATTACAAAATGTATCACACTAAAGGTTTCATCAATCAGGCAGGTTTCCTTCCCCTTTGGTTTTTTAAGAAGTCCAACTGGTTATTATTTGAAGGGCTGTAAAATAAACTGTCTTCATACATTCCTGGAATTTTGTTTCACTACCAAATATTCCTGGGGGAGCATAAAAAGACAACCTTCTCTTTGTCAACTGGTTGCTTTTCACTGAGACCTCTCCTAAGGATTGAACAGCAGGGGCTTTAGCAGCAGTAGTCTGGTGGTACCTCAGACTTCAGAGACCTGTCTGTCTTCCAGTTAAATCAGTTTTGAAGAGGAGAGGAAGAGTGGTTTTGGAGGTTTGACTGCTTTCTGGCAGAGCAGGATTGCCTTGGTTGACCTGCCACAGCATCCCATCGTCATCCCCCATTAGAGACTGAGCTGTTGGAACACTTGGAAGCAGGCAGCAATCCCAAGGTAACAGGTAGGGGCCAGGAAAACTCCCAACCCACCACAGAACCTCATTCTCAGCTGTTTATTGCCATAAATCAGCAATTAAAACCGAAATTTCTCTCAGCAAGGGACAATTAGCACAGGCAGTTTCAGAGGGAAAGGGTTCAGCTGCTTTTGGGACTGAGGCAAAAAGGAAGATGATGTTCTCCACATGTTCAAGCAATTGTGTTTTAAGCAGCCTTTGCATGTCCAAATTTTGACAGCAGAGATGAAAACATGGAGCACTAACATACCAATCACACAGGTTGTAATCCCCAGGGAAACCCAGCCAAATTTGTCCAACTCATAAGCACTTTGTAAATTACAATTTGAGTACTGTACTGCAGAAACCCACTGGTTTCATACATAAAAGCCCACAGAGTTTCTTCTTAGTGGGCACAGAATCACAAAGCCCACGTGGAGGGAAAGGACAGAATTTTGATTAAGACTCCTAACAGGAAGCTGCTCTGAACAGCAGGATGGTTTCTTTTCTGCTGCAGTCTTGGTGACCAAGTCACTTGTGGTAGCACTGGTGGGATCTCAAACTGAGGAGGAGGGAAGGGAACATGACAGGTACCAGACAGCTCGAGAAGGAAGGAAAGGAAACAGTCTGCTCCCTTATGGGTGAGGAGGACTTGGAAGCTATTCCCCGGTGCAGACAACGCTGGGGGCAAAGAGAAGCCTTCTGCAGCTTCCATGAAATGAAGAAAGGCAGAGGATGGGTAGGGCTTTGTGTTATCAACATCCAGCTTCTTGCTACTGACTCAGCAAAAGTGACAATGACATGGCCTAGAATTACAGCAGGCAGGCACATCCTGCAGGATTTTTCTCTCAGATCACTTGACGTTGAGATGGTCATTTGACTACTTATTCCTCCTTTTCTGCATGCTTTGAGACCCCAGGATCTGATTTCCAATCCCAGATATCAATGAGGAAAAGAGGTCCATTGCTTGGAAAGTACAGTACAATGTTCTTCATAACACATTGGTACTGTGAAAAATCACTTTCCAGGGGTGCTATAAACAGTGCAGCCCAAAGCACTTCTGGCCTTCATTTCTCTTCACCTGGGTTGCCATCTCATCTCCTCATAAAAATGTTGGAAAAAATAAATTAATGAGTGAAGCAACTAGATACCCCAGAATAAGTTGCTATGAGAAAAAACAAGAAGACACTTGTATTAGACTCTGTTTACCCTTAGACTGACAATGTCTCTTCATCTTGTCACTATACAGAGTGGCAGATATTGAGGTCATACTGAAATAAGGAAGGCCAGGGTGTCATACTCAAAATAAAAAGAGGCAAAATGGAACATTGGCCATCTGTGCATCAGTGAATACTGTCTACCCTGCTCACTCAATGTGTCCACTGGAAAATATAATCCCATGAAGATGCAATTAAATACCACATCAAAAACTATGTGCAAAACAGGCTAAACTAAGATGGGATGGGAAAATTTAATTCTGCATTGCCTTTGCTCTGGTTGGGGGTGTATAAGTTCAACATACAACGTTCCCTGGAAACAGTGTCTGAGCTTGTTTGTATGTGTAAATATATGGGCCTATGTACTTCAAATTCTGTATTTTCACTGCAAAATTTATGCATTTGCAACTTCAAAGTTGCCTATGAACACTGACAGAGAGTCAGTGTTAAACATTACTTGGTAAATTCAGTGCTTTATTATTTCAGTGTGTTGCCACTCAAAATCAAAACCAGCAACTTCTTGATTTGGATCTAATTTCTTGAGAAAATCACATCTGGCCCAGCAATGTGTCCAGTTCTGAACTCCACAGGAATAAGGATGATATGGATTTAATGGAACAAGTCCAGCAAAAAGCCTTAAAGACGATTAAGGGAATGGAGCATTTTTTCACATAAGGAGCTAGTGAGAGTGTAGCTGTTCAGCCTCGAGTAGAAAGGCTTAGAGGGATCTTATCAATGCATAAATACCTAATGGGAGGGAATGTAGAAGAGGGAATCAGACCCATCTCAGTGGTGCCCAGTGAGAGAGCAAGAGATAAAATAAAACCCCCGTGAAATTCTGTCTAAACACAAGAAAATACAGTGAGAGTGATCACACGCTAGAATAGGCTGCCCACATGGGTTGTGGAGTCTCCAGCTGGGGAGATATTCAACTGGACACAGGCCTGGAAAACCTGCTCTAGGCTGACCCTGCTTGAGCAGGGAGGTTGGACAAGATGACCTCAAGATGTCCCTTCTAAGCCAAATGACTCTGTGATTCTGTAAAATCAGAATCATTTTCACAGTTTGAACCTCTGGTGTCATTCAGCACAATTTTTGCTATTTAAGTAACTGGAGTAAGGCACAGACAAGTCTCCTATGAAAGAGCCATCCTTGCAGTGATGTCCCTGAACTCCATTTTTGGTTCCTGCACAGAAAAGATGTTCTACAAGCACTTGGTAGCTTCATGATGATGGCAAATCAAAATGGCACTGGAGTGAATGCAGCTAGATCTTTACAGAGCCTGAAATTTGGACTTCAAAAGAACTGTCTGCATGTTCAAAGTTAAATGTCTGCTTAAATGGTTTGTTTGAGGGGGGCCTGAATTACATTGTCATTCAGAAATGTAATTACAGTTATTAAAATCATATGTAAAGCACTGTTGATTCAGTGTTTTATTGTACAGGATATATAGCTATATTGATTATTTTATTAGACATCCATAATGTTGCCAATATGATGCAATGCAGCTACCGCAAAGTATTTGCTAGTTTGGGGAGGAAACAGACCATCTGCAATGGAAAGACTTAATTTGGAAGGCAAGAAAAGGCAAAACCCAGGGCTCCTCCTGGACAAATTCTCCCCTACTTGGCAGACAGTACAGCTGCAGGGCTCCCCTCTGCACGGCAGGAGAAACTTATCTATGAGCCTATCCAACTCTCCACAGAATACAGAACAAAATCACATTACAAGCCTCCTGCTCTAGTCTTTTCCCTCACACTCTACGCTTTGTGTCTCCCCTCAGAGGACACTGAGAAGGGAAATAAAATACAGTTTACTTGAACCTTGTATTTGACACTAAAGGTCATCTGAAGTATTATTCTTTTTTCACAGCGTCTCCTTCTCAAGTAATTTTAAGAGTTCAGTATACAGAGAGAATGCCAAAATTGTTACATGCCTCTTCAGTGCTGCGTATACCAATCCAGCAAGATTTTACTTCCACAGTATAGAATTTTCATGTCATGCCTGTTTGATAGGATTTTTTTTTTTTTTAAAGAGCTCAGGGCATACTCCCAAACACAGCAGTGGGTCAAAAGGCCTGTGGTAGAGGGTCTGATAAGGACTCAGAAGCTGAGCTGAATTAATTTGCAATGTATTTTTTTTTCCAAAGGCTGCTGAGTATACTATGGTACGGTAAGATTAAGTAAATGTCAGGTTGCCTACAGCTCTCACATAGGTATGTCTTCTATTCTCAAATTCAAATAAACAAATTTACATATACTGTACCTTCAGCTGAAGTACCAAGTCCATGCAGTATTTGCCAAGAGGGTTTATGTCATTCAAGATGAGTGCAATTATAATATCAATCCCATTAGACTCATGGGTGGCTATGCATGTCTGCAAAAAAAGAGAAGGGAATGGGGCAGGGGCAGGAGAGAGGGAGGGAAGGAGGGGTACAAAGAGGGAGACAGGATAACAGGAGGGAGGAAATATGCACATCAACAAATTTTTAAAAGAAGGACGCAGAACTTGAAAGACCTTGCAACAACAGTGAACCTTTCAGCCAAAGCAGAACATCCTAAAAACATGCCACAAGAGCTGCTGGGGGAGGCTTATGTAGTACAGAACTGACCCCAACACTGCCAGCAGTGGAACACACAACTGGAATAGTGGTGATGCAGGTTAAAATATGCTCCCAGTAAATCATGCAGGGCTTGGCACCAAGTGGTACAAGTTACAGACAGCAGGAGCACTGCCAGATGCAGCTGAACACATGTGCCAGACTCGGACATAAAAGACATGCTCAGCTGTACACACAACCAAATCTGCACATCCAAATGCTTAATTTGCAGTCAGCAACCAGTTCTAATACCACTCTTACAGCATGAATTGTTTGCAGAGACTAAGGTTCTCTCCATATACCTGGATATGTTCTGCATAGAAGGGCATTTCACAAAATCATAGAATGCTTTGGGTTGGAAGGGACCTTAAAGATCATCTCATTCTAACCCCCTGCCATGGGCAGGGACACCTTCCACTAGCCCAGGTTGCTCAGAGCCCCATCCAGCCTGGCCTTGGACACTTCCAGGGATGGGGCAGCCACAGCTTCTCTGGGAAACCTGTGCCAGGGCCTCATCACCCTCACAGAAAGGATTTTTTTCCAAATGTCTAACCTAAAACTACTCCCTGTCAGTTTGAATCCATTTCTCCTTGTCCTGTCACTACATGCTCTTGTAGAAAGTCCCTCTCCATCTTTCTTGATAGACATGGAATTCTGGATGTGGAATTCAAAACTGTACTGTACTTCACAGATGCCTTTACAGCTGGAGTCCTGGACCTTCTAGGTGTTGTTAAGTGTCAGTTATACAAAAGCCTGTGGTGCTTTTTCCTTCTAGCAGGTTTATGGTCAATAGGAAAGAAGAAGGTTTCCAGGAAGACAGAGAGAGGGAAAAAATGAAAATGAGAGTGTTGAGCATTTGCCTCTGAAATACACTGAATTAGACTTGTAGTTGGTGTGAACAAGCATAACTCAAATCCTGAGTGACTTCCAGCAGAAGTCTGGTCTAAGTAATGAAGGGTAACTAATCATTCCCTTCCACTATCAGTGTTCCTCCAGTGCTTCTTAAGTAAATTTGTTGGAGAACATGTTAACTTGTAACAGGTTTTTTTTCATCTCCAGTCCTGCAGCTATTCTTTTTTTACAGTTGTTTTTCCCATTCATAAGTGGATTGAATCTGACTGTTCAAAATTCAGTCCACTAAAGGATTTTTGTTTGTTTGCTTTTAAAGTATTAAGTAAAGGCAGTTGATTACCAGCAAAGGCAATAGCAGCAATTTATATTTCATTTGTGCACATTAATGAAGAAGCATTAATATTGCATGTATTTCTTCAGCTATTCCTACTAAAAAGAAGAGATTGCTTCTGTAATTTGCCCACTGCAATTTTCCAATTGATAATCCATAGTAAAAATTCTGCAATTTCAACCAGTGTTACAACTTTACTGCAGTTCTCTTCAGATCAAATGTGGCAGCATATAACCACATTCTTTGCATCTCCATACTTCTTCAGCACAGCACTAAAGAGACCATTACCAAAAGTCACACCTTTATGACTTAAAGCACTGGAGTGAACAAGGCAGAGATGAGCAGAAGCCTGGTCTTTAGTTTCATCCATTTCACTACTGACATCATAATTAAAGATGCTGCTAGATAGTATAGCAGGATGAGAAGTTAAACTTTGTGGCAGATAATGTGAAATAAGGAAAGTAAGTGTTAGCAACCCATATAAACACCAGCAAGGGCAAAATGTTTGAAAATTAAGAAAACAAGACTGTGTTTGCAATGCACTTCCACAGCTGTGACTCCAAATCCAGTCTCACAAAGTGAGGTTTAAGCCATGGACACAACATTAAGCTCTCTCCAAAAGAACTGGTAATCCTCAATGGAAGCAGATATACCACAGGAAGAGTGTTTTGAGTTCTGACTTAAAAGGTTCACTCAGGCCTTATGAAAGCTTGTGTGTTAAGCCCAGTCACAGCAGCTGGAAGTGAATTTATGTTATTAGCAACACTGAAATATTTATGACAAGCACCCAGACACCACACATTCAGGTACACTCTTCTGCATCCAGGAGTTATTTGAGCCCTACCTGGTTTTCATGGCATGGACCTTGGCAATACTCAGTAAGGCTTTCCAGTGTCTGGTTGACAAGAGCCACATTCCTCTCATTGATGTAAAGCCCCAACAAGCCCAGCCCACCTGTTGTGCTTCCGCAGATGCAGTCCAGAAACTGAAGGGTCTCACAAACGAGGTTGTAATTTGTTTTATTGTTTTGATGTCTTAAAAAATTCTGGTGGATGGAGAAAATGAATACGCACCAAAAAAAAAAAAAAAAGAGAGAGAGAGAGAGACAAGTCAAACACAGTCTTTTTTCCCATGAAAACATGAAAAGGTACAATTTATATATACAATTTATACAAATTATGACCACTGTACATCAGGTACTGAAGTACAGCACACTACAGAAAATATATTAGGACCCAGTGCAGCAGGTGAGAAATTAAAAGCTGATTAAAACAGCAGAGCAAAGAGGGCTTAGGAAAGTGAGCTTTGCAAACATCTGCACTGGCCTTAAATGTCATATATGTCCTGCACACCTGCCCCCACCCATCTATTACACCCCTGCTCTGGGAAGCTCATTCCCACAGCTGAGCAGGTCTCATAGCACATCACAGCCACTCCTTGGCTGTGCCAGCCCAGAACTGCAGCTCAGCTCAAACCACCCTCAAAACTGCTCTAAGGGAGGTTCCTGGACACTGGGAATAATTGTAGAAAATTCATTTTGCAAAAGTTGCTATGGGGACAGTAATTTCTACCAAGAGAACTGATACAGGAGGGACACACATTTCAAAGCCTTCAATCATAACACCTTGGGAACAGAGCAATTCCCAAACACTGCCCAGAAAGTTCTTGTGGTCTTCAGGTCCGTAGTAAGTGATCCACCATTTGTGCACAGAAACCTGACTAGCAGGGACACTCAGACACTTCTCAGTTCCATGTGGCTGCACTGCAGTCCCCAAGCAATTCTGAGGACATAAACATGACCTCAACTAAGGTGGGTCTTGAAAAGGGTTATTTTAACCTTGGACCAAAAGAAGAACAACATTTTAGACAGCCCTATTCTGTAACAGCAGCCAGGCACAGGGGTGTTTTTTCTTCCCTTTTGAAGCTGTAGTCCCTATAAATACTTCATTTGCAGCTCAGTTCAAAACCACTTTACCTGGAGCTCTCGGTTGTGGTTCTCACACAGCAGCTGAAGAAATCTCAGTATTGGCTGCATGATTGCAATGGCAGGGCTCATGATTGCTTCTTCTGTGGACTTCTCTTCTGCATTTGCAGCATCTGTTCCTGAGCCCATGAGATCTATTTCTGGGTCCATTTCTCTCCTATACACAGAGTAAGCCTTGGATGTTGCAGAAGATGCCTCTGTTAACTGTCCTTTCATACCCTCTTTCAGATGCAGGGTTGAATCCTTAACTGAAAAGAAGATGATTTTCCTTCATTTTTGAAACTCTTTCTCCTCATTTGATTAAACAATAAGAAAACAATAATAATGAATGCAACTTTTTCTTGGTTGGTGCCTAACTTTTCTAAGACCTCTAGGCAACTTACAAAGAATATCAAAGCAACATTCATGCAGGGATAGCATGTTCCAAATAAACCACAAACCAGAGTGAAACAGAACATTAACACAAAAAGCCCTACTATTTCTCTCCCATATACAATAAATGATGAGAACAATGGAAAGACCACAGGGTGGGAAATCAGTTCCTGTGCTTGCTCTTGTGAAATAGCCCCATTAGCAGCAGCCTCTACTTCTGTTTCTCTAAAAATATGGTTCTATATCTTTTATTGATGCAAACTGGCACAGCTTCACTGATTCCATCAAAGCTAATTCCTTGTAGCCAGCCTGGGGTGGATTATAATTCAGAGAAAGCAGACAAAAGATGCAAATTAGCAATGGTTAATATTGAGGCTTATTGATCATCTCAACACAGCGGTGCAGTTCTAATATAAAATGCACTTCTCCCCTCTTTCACAGGTGTGCCTCCTTACCTCTCTTTTTGGGAACAGATATGGTGAGGTCACTGTCATCCTCTTTCTTTTTGCTCCCCAGATCAATAGTGTTCACTGTCACTGTTGATCTGATCTCCTGCTGAGCAGCTTTCATGCGGTCATACAGCACCTTAAAGAATTTCTCTGACTTCTTTTGCTCCTTCAGTTGCTGGTAGGTCGAATACTGCAAAAAAAAAAAAAAAGTTCAGCTATCAATCTCCTAAGGAAGAAGAAATACAACAATACACTACTTTTTGGCAAAACAAATGATGAGTAATTAATTCACTTATACAAAACAAATGTTGGCCACTGTCTGACCAGTTCTTTCACGAAGTGATATGCAAGGCTGGTAACAAAGACTGATGATAATGTTTCAGAATTTGGGTAAAACAGTGAACAGTGCTATTTGCAATCTTTAAAATGTCACAATATTACACTTGAAGTTAAATTATTTTGTGACACTCTCCATTTCTGCAGCTCACTAGAGTAATAATATTCCATCTACAAATAACAGTGAAAAGTAACTGTTATTATGCAACAAGAGGAAACATGGAACATCTAAGATGTAATATTATAACTTGGATTATGCTGATGACGCTGCCCTTGTTGCCCACACAGAAGCAGCCTTGCAGCGTTTAACATCCTGCTTTGCAGATGCTGCTGAGCTCTTTGGGCTGGAAGTCAGCTTAAAGAAGACAGAGGTCCTCCATCAGCCTGCACCTCAGGAAGTCTTCCATCATCCCTACATCACCATTGGCCAATCAGAGCTCAAATCAGTTCAGCAGTTTAATTACCTAGGCAGCCTCATCTCCTCAGATGGTAAGATCGACGGAGAGATAGACAACAGGTTAGCAAAGGCATACAGTGCTTTTGGAAAACTCCACAAAAGAGTATGGCGTAATAAACACTTGAAGAAAAGCACCAAGATCAGTGTTTACAGAGCCACTGTGCTGTCTACTCTCTTATATGGTTCCGAATCATGGGTCATCTACCGCCACCACCTGCGTCTCCTAGAACGCTTCCATCAACGCTGTCTCCGTACAATCCTAAACATCCACTGGTCAGATTATGTGACCAATACATCTGTTCTAGAGCAAGCAGCAGTCACAAGTATTGAGGCCATGTTACTGAGAACACAGCTGCGATGGGCAGGGCACGTCTCCAGGATGAAGGACCACCGCCTCCCTAAGATCCTGCTCTATGGTGAACTTGCCACTGGCTGCCGCAAGAGAGGAGCCCCGAAGAAAAGATACAAGGACTCCCTGAAACAACATCTCAGCCTTGGCCATATTGATCACCATAACTGGTTTACTCTGGCCTCAAATCGGGAGGCCTGGAGACACATCATCTATAACGCAGCTGTCTCCTTCGAGAACACACGCAGGATCACTCTCGAGGAAAAAAGGCAGCGCAGAAAGAACCGTGTATTGCAGAATACACCATCTAAGGAGTCTTTCTGCTGCGCCTTTTGCAATCGGATATGTCTGTCACGTATTGGCCTCATAAGCCACCAGCGCACCTGTAGCAAATGTGGATAGAGCCTTCCCAAATCTTCGTTCATGAAGCCTAGCCATGAGTTGAGTTGAGTTGAGTTGAGATATTAATTTTTTGTGCTACACATAGAGTTTAATATTAAATAGTTAATATTTTAGGTTACAGGCCCTTAGTATTACTGTCAAGCAGTCTGAGTAACATTTGCAGCATTTTACAGTCTCCCAAAGTAAAAGCTTTTTACGGCCCCTAACAATTCATTTTAGAAAGCTGGAAAAAAAATCTCATTTCTTTATCATTTTCTGGACACTCTGTAAGGGTCACAGATCATATTATATTTTTACAGAATAAAGATACAAAATGGGATTCCTCCCACAGGCAATGATGAGAGATGGAGAAATGCAGGAAATGGTTCATGGCAACTCTCCTCTCTTCTGTTAACTCTGCTGGTCATGGTCAAGGATAAATAATCATAGAATCATGGAATGGTTTGGGCTGGAAGGGACCTTAAAGACCATCCAGTTTCAACCCCCTGCCATGGGCAGGGACACCTTCCACTATCCCAGGTTGCTCAGAGCCCCATCCAACCTGGCCTTGGACACTTCAGGGATGGGGCAGCCACAGCTTCTCTGGGCAACCTGTGCCAGGGCCTCATCACCCTCCCAGGGAAGAATTTCTCCCTAATATCCCATCTAAAGCTGCTCTCTGTCAGTTTGAAGCCATTGCCCCTTGTCCTGTCACTCCAGGCCCTTGGAAATAGTCTCTCTCCATCTTTCCTGTAGGACTCCCTTCAGGTCCTGGAAGGCCTCAGAGTCACCCTAAGGTCACCCCAAAGCCTTTTCTTTTCCAGGCTGAACAATCCCAATTCTCCCAGCCCTTCATCATCTCAATTCTCTCTCTTTCTTCAATCATCTTATTTGGCGAAAGTTGAGTTGAGGGACACAATTCACAAAAAACAAGAATCCATAGTTTAAAGCAGTTTTTTTCTATGGAATGGGATACCGCTTTTCTCAAATGACCAGTTTTGCTCTCTTTGGAGATTTTGATAAATGTCCCTGAAGGTTCCCAGAAAATATTTTTATTGCCATTATATACTTAAAAGCACTGTTATTTTTAATTTTACAAAGAGTGATATAAAATAAATTGAGGCAATGCTTACATGGCAAAGACCAGATTAAAAGAAGCACACAGAAAGGGACAGATGAAAAACATTTTCTTCTATTGAAGAGTCTACACTATGAGATATTGCATAGCAATAGGGCATATTTACCTTTGTATTACAGTGACAAACTTTTCACAGAACTCACAGCAGAAAGGTTCTTTCTATTTGTCTCCAGGCTACGTGCTTCTGAAAATCAATATGTGAATAAGGATATTAAATAAGTACCTGTGTTTGCGTATTTCCACCTTCAAGCAACGCAATGCCAAGCAAAATGCCTTCTGAGAAAATCCTGTCATTCCTGGTGTTTACTATGACATCTATAACCAGTTCCGAGGCACCTTCTTTATCCAGAAGGCACTGAATATCAAACATGGTCACCCCAGATTTATCCAAGTCTTGTCCCGAAAATCCACCTGCAAATTAGACAAAGACATCCCATTCATGATGGTTTCACACATGGACACGGAAGGGTATCTATTAGTAGTAATAATGCACACAATAGCAATGTCATAAATTTCATTTTGAAATTCTCTTTCAGGTAAAATTCCCCCTGATAAAAAATCGAAGATTTTTGTATGAAACTGCAATGTTGGGCTCTAAGAATAAGCAATAAAACAAGTCCCCAAACCATTGTTCTTTCATGATATTCAGACAATAAGGAAGTTGGAAATGACACCATTTTGTTCACCAAAGCCCTTTTTTAATTCCACTGCTGCACACACCCAACTGTGAGTATGGGCAGCGCTCTGAGACCACCTTTAAATCTGCTCTTCCATCTCAGACCTAATCTACACAAAGATTGTGTCCTGCTAAATCCACTCTGGTTATGGGTATGATCTTCTAGCCAAGTGCTGCTGCCAACAAAACTCCTAAATCATTAACGTCATGATGATGTTCTTTAAGAACAGAGACCTGAGTTAATCCAAAGTAAAGGAGTGGGTTGAAGAAATCTTGCTGAATTGCATTAGCTCATTAAATCAACCATCTTTTATTATCACAGATTATCATCTTTCCTGCCATACTTCCTTCTATAAAGATATAACTGTGTCCACCTCATTAGGAAAAATACAGTACTGCTTTAATCAGTCAGTACTATTTTGATTAATCTGATTAAAATCGTGTAGGCTTTGTTTGTGATGAAGCCATACACACAACTTTTAAAGACAGAACTAAAAAAAAAAAAGAAAAAAAAAGTAAATCAAGTAAATCTTTACTCTCCTGTTTGTTAGGGAGCAAAATTTGGTGTGCAGGATATCAAAACTAAACACTTCCAGTGTCTACACTGAAACAGCCATGGAGGAACAGTTAGGTAACATTTGGAAATGCCCACAAATCTGGGTATGCCTTTAATATATGCTGAAAATGCAATGACAAGTATTTTGACCTGGCTCTGTACCCAACTTCTGTCTCTTTTCCCATGACATGCATTATTTTGGGTTTTCTTAGAAACCATCCTATAGTAACTTCCTGTGGCTTCTATAAGAACAATGCAAAAAAATTAGGTTATAATGGCCCTACAGAGACCATCTGCTCAAACGTCCTGCTCAAGGTAATTAGAGCAGGTTCATCAGAGTCTTGTCCAGTTGTAACAAGAACTGACACATCCTATAGCTTCTCAGGGAGGTCTGTTCCATTGTCCAACCAGTGTTTTTGCAAGAAGCTTTTCCTTATACCTTTTTTTTTATATATCAATAAAGGGTCTAGAATTGTAAAAAGAAATGTTAAGCTTCCAGAAACAGCAACATCTTTATTCAAATGTTTTGTGCTTTGCTGAATTTCTGAATGGTGATTTACTGGTACCTACTTTGGTACCTCCAAACGTCCTGTGATCCTTGTGGGTCCCTCCCACCTCAGCATATTCTGTGATTCTATGAAATGCACAGGAGCCATCTGAGACAAGTGCATGCAACTTAAAAATAGAAAAAGTCTGCTACTACCTCTCTTCTAACTGATCATAGAACACGTTTGTATTTATTTACCAACTGAATCACTGGAGCACTTCCAATGTGCCTATTAGAAAAAAATGATGCTGTTAATTTTGTTCTCTTGAAATGATCTGTGTTGATTTACCTCCCACTTGTGCAGTTTTGCTGTAGCTGGCAGACAGGGGCCCATTCATACCACTTCCATATTCCCCTTTAAAGTAGCGATACAGGAGTATTTTCCTTAAAGTGTTGCCCTTTAAGAGAAAGATAAAAATAGAAAAAATGAGAGTTGTGGCCAATTTCCTTTGTTTGAAAAGCAAGCTGTTTAACATAGATACATAATTTATTAGGTCTTTCCATTATAATTAGGAAGCACACAAATAGTAAATTTGTCCAGAAAACAAACATCTAATGGTCTTACCTAACAAATCCCATGGGAAGAATTCTAAAATAGTGTTGTATAAACTTTTATTTTATGTTTCTTTTAAACTTATAGATTACAAATAAAATACCTCAACCTCAATAATTCTGACTGGTTATCTGTAAGATGTGTATATTGAAACAAGTTCCATGAATAGCCAACACTCTGCAGTCATTGTGTCTGTGCCCTACGCTGCCATGGCAGTACTTTCTTCCTATTTTCTGCAGCTGAGTAGTATCACTCCCTTTTCTCTGATCTCAGATAATCCAGCTGATTGTCTGAAAGAAGCCACATCACATGAAATATTTAAACAGATATCTGACATTTGATAGAACAGTTTAAAAAGCATTTTCTGTATTTCCTTGTTCCTTGACTTCCAAAACCACAACCAGTCAAAATTTGCATGCAGCTCTCTGAAGATCTTCCCTTTCATTTCACTTAATCCAACATGTCTTGTGTTGCAGAACATAAGAGTCAGGGGTACCAATTACTTGGCATTTTTATTTTGCCTTCAGTCTCTTGGGAACACCTTCAGTCAACACTCAGCTTTGCAGAGGCAGGAGGTGACACAACTGTAGGCATATCTGTAACCTAAGATTTTATACAGAAAAGACTACACAAGGCCTCCAATGATCACCACAGAAGTTGGTAATTTGAACAGCTTGGCAGTAAAATGGAACAACTTTTTCCTTACTTTTACTAAACTAATGGTTTTAATGAAAGCAAAAAATGTAAAAAACACGTGCACCAGAAGCACTCCCACTTCTCTGTTAACTTAACAGTATTTCCAAGAGCCCCAGTGGGGCTTCACTGCTTCACTGACCTCGAAGACAATGGGTTTGTCCACCTCAAACGAGTGCCAAAATACAGGATTTTGTGTGTCACCTGACAACACAAACCAGCCATTCCTTCCTAGTTCTCACAATGTGATGTTTTAATTTGTTAATAGTCTGTACAGATTTCCCTCAAACAGCTAAGAAAAGTACAAGGCCTATGTTAAAATATCAAAAGCTATAAATACAGTGGGCTGCAAGAAAAATAAGAAGTGTCACCTACACATCTGTAGTGCAGTGCCAGGGAATTTATTAGGTGGATTTTCCAGGTGAGCTTTAGCCAGTGTGCTCTACACTACAGAGGGAGGCGAGGATTCAGAAGTCTCTGAGGAGCTCACACAGAGACAGATTCCTTCCCAGCCTGGTTTATGGTGGGGTTTAACCCTGCATGCGTGGACAGGGTAGGCTAACCAAGCTCATAAGCAATTTTGACATTGCAAAGAGCACCAGCTCCTCCTGCTCAACATCTTGTCTCCAGCTGTGACCAAAATCCAGTGTCTTACAGGACAGTGAACCTCATTTTCCTTGTGTCCTGAAGAAGACCAATGTATTATTGAGGGGAAAAAAGTTCTCACTGGAACCAATAAACATGGACTAAGAAGCAGGATAAAGTCCCTTTTCAAGCTTTCTCAGCTGCATATATCCAGAATTATAAAACTGTATCACACAAATGGAATCACAGAGCAAAAACCCTTTCTAAGTCCAGACTAGGGCCTGATCCAGAATGGGCACTGCCTTGAGACAAGATCTTTTCATCAGAAAGGCTGGCATTTGCCATACCACCTGATCAGCCACTCAGTTTGAGTCAACATCCTCAACAAGCAATCTTTGCAGTCTGTGGATGACTAATGGTAAATTATAGAAACAGTCACAGTGCAGTCACGGGAAGAAATACCAAAAGCCATCTATATATAGTTAAGAATACTACCTGTGGTCACAAGCTTTTATTTTTCAATCAAAACAGCCTTTATTTTATCCAGAAGAGAGTTTAAGACCATGAAAAAGCTTTTGACTAATAAACTGAATGATTTAGCACTGGGGTCTGATTGCTTGGAAGCGAGTAACTGAGCACATCTCAGCTCTTACTGCCTCATTACCTTCAGAGACATCAGGAGGAGCAGGAATATGAAGATGGTTTTCCATCTGCAATGGGAAGGGGAATGCTGCTTCTCCTATTACCAAACTAAGGCACAGACTTGTTCCAAGAAACAAGCCTTAATTATTAGGATTCCTGCTCTCTCTCACTCCTTTTCTCAACCTCCCATAAACTCAGACAACAGTCACAGTTCCAGAAGCCAATGTGTCAAGAGTCAAGGACGCCGTGCTTGTGAAGCAGAGATGTGGTGGCACCTCTGCTTTGGCTGACAGCTGTGCCAAAGACGCGCCCTCGGGCTCAGCCCACACACTTGCAAACTCAGAATCTTCCTCCCCTTTGTGATGACCATATGACTTCCATGAGCCTTGTGAAATCAGCTGCCACTACAAAGAGCAGAAAAGACCAGCAACGCAACCTGGGGCTGAGAAATGCACAGAAAAAATGCTCCAGGAATGTATCTCAGCAGCACCCGTCACCTCCTGCCTGCAACCATGTGAGGCACCATGCTAGAAAAAGATGGAAAGACCCTGCTTCCCACAAAAGTGCTGATCCTGCTGGCATAGGTGTCTGGGTATGCTTTTATGGGAATGCCAAAAAACACATCTAGAAGAGCCTATCAGGCGGACGAGACAAACTGCTGCCAGGGCGAGACAGCCACGCCATTCATGTCCTTGTGAACTTAGCCTAGCCACAAAATTAATATTGCCCAAAAGCAAATGATCCCAGCAGCAGCATGAATAAGCAGTTTGCAGCAGCTATTATTGATAACCATGTTACTAAAGCAGAGGCCAGAAATAAAAGCACACTGGGCAGGGCAGTGCTGTCTTCCCCCACTACGTTTCCACGCGTGGCAGAAGTCTCGGTCTTCCAAGCTGAATCCCTCCCCTGCTGGCTACAATACACTTTCTTTTATACCTCTTATTAGGGTATGGAAGTGGCATGTAAACATCACTCAGCTGACTGCAAGCCTTCTATAATGGCTAGAACATTGTATAGCTTTGGGAAAAAACACAATGAAACATAACAGTCTTATTGTTACTGATGAATACCACTGCATTGTCCCTAACAAAAGCTAGGGTAAAGACTGAGGGCACAAGAAAGCAACAACTGGATATTGTTGTTGCAGTTTTAAATAGCTAGGGACTGACAGACAAAAGTTTCCAATAGGGAATAATTATTCCAATAGGAACACGTAGATACAAACAAATTATGTTTTCTCAGTCCGTATTTTATTATACTCATTGGTCTCTAAACTTGATTTAAATGGCTTAATACAATGGTTTGTTCACTTTACTTCTCTGAGCCTGCAAAAGGCTGGTTCCACATAAGGATGGGGTGTTCTGTGCCAGGAAGGAATGGCTGAGAGAGATACCTAAGGCTTATTGTGGATACCTGCATCAGCACCAGCTCACTGTATTACACTGCCAAAAATTATCTGTTCTCTTAAATAATTCTGCACTCTTCTTAAGGAATTGGAATTCTATTTATGATGTTCTGAAGGCTGAACTAGAGGATCTGGTGATCTCTTCTGGTTCTCACTCTGCATGAAAATAATAAAATGTTCAGATTACCAGTGATAACACAGAAAAGGCAGCCACATCCAACAGGCATTTCTGTGATACAATGGATGATGTTGTGAGTGTATTTCAGTATAAATTCAGGAAGATACATGAAGATTAGGCATGTTAAATCTTTACATGCAGATAATTTGCAGCCACATATAAAAGAGGAACTGTCGGGGATCTCTGGTCTACTAATACAGATTTTCAGAAAGTGTGGAACAGATACAAAATGGCAGAGAACTGGGAGAAATCTCATGTGCAATGCTACTTTTCTAAAAGTGCATGGGAGTACTTTTTACACTTCTTACTGATATCCAGCCCTCTGCAGTGAGTTTGATATGAACTCTGGGGAAAACAAATGGCTAATTTTGCATTCCATTAACAGAAAATTAAAGGAAGCTCCTATAAACTGATGGTAGTTTTAATACTGGCATCATGTTGCAATAATTGCCTCAATACAGGTTTACAAAAACAGACCTTCTGAAACTTCTGAAGATTATCTTCTGCTTTTGCTAATAATGAAAATATCATTCTGGTAAAGTTTGATAAACTGCGCAGTGTGACATAATCCTGTCAGGCAAAATTTTTGATTAAGTAAGCCCACAAGGATAGTTATCAAATGGCTTAACAAGTAAAAGATTGACAGAATTTAGTGTGCAATTTAAAGCAAGAAATCATAAACAAGTGCATAGGCTTCTAATAGGCAACCTCACAAAGTATTTATTGTCTGCCTGGTTTTTTTTCCAATGAAATAAAAGAATACAGAAAATAATTATTAATAGTGTTTAGAAAGGACACAAAAAAAAGGGGGGGGGGAATGGGGTGGCGAGGTCAAGTCACTGGTAACAATTTAGGCATCATTCATTATACTGACTAGATGCAAACAAAATGAGCCTCATCATGTCCAAACCCCTGTATGTCTTAATAACAATAAAATGCAGAACACCAAAAAATGCAGGATTCTGTTCTAGGAGGCCATGACTTTGGGGAAGAATGAAAAGTCTTGGAGCAAAAAAAAAAAAGACAACTTCCAAAATCCCACAATTCTGTGAATGAGAACAAGAGCAATTATGTAGGATTTGTGAGGCTATTTTACTTCTCCACACACAGGGGCACGTTACTGCAGGAATATCACACCACAAGTTGGTGTCCACAACTCAAGAAGTATGCTGACAAATTGGATTAGGCTTGGAGAAGTTCCATGAGAGTGATTAGGGAACAAAACATGCCTTCTCATCAGAAATTCAAGGCTTTCTATCTACTGAGCTAGTCAGGCTAAGCATGAACTCTGTTTCTGACTATCTACACAAGAAATCTGACAATGGATGACTTCAGTCTAAAG